TCTCACTGTCTAACTCTGCCTGTCAAAAAAAAAAAGACATAAGAAGAAAGAAAAAGAAAATAATATTGGATTTTAAAAAGACAAAATAATTGTGTAATTAGTTTGTCTTCAGTGTGATATTTATGAGTATTGAGTATTTACAATGTAATACTACCTGACTAGAAATGCTGCTGATTAATTTAAACCTGTTGGTTAATTCAGCAAACTCACATTCCTGACTACAGTTGTATTGCGTAGATGTTGACTATGTAGTAACTTTGCTTTTACTGTTACTAGGAAGAGGAACACTGTGATGAAGTTCCAGAATACTCTGAACCAGTTCTCGAGTTTAACAGAAGTGTTAAAGTTGTTTCTACAAAATATAGTGGCCCTCCATTTCCACCAGTTGCTTCCACTTTTCAGCCTACTACTGATATTTTGGATAAAGTAATTGAGAGAAAGGAAGCATTGGAAAATAGCTTAATTCAGTGGTGAGTTTACAATGGTCTTGGTATGAATTGAATTATAGTAGCAAATGCAAGGTACTTCAAAAAGTTTATGGGAAGAAAGATTAGAAGTTTCTTTTGGTGCAAAATATTTTTGAAATCCATGCATTGGAGAGATCAAAAAGTTCATGGGAAATGTGTACTATTAAGTATTATGCATGAACTTCAAAATATTTTGTATTAGAATAAACTTGTCTCTTAAATTCCATGATTCTACAGAATTTTTGAGGTATCTGCATTTAATACCTGCCACTTTGAAAAAGGTACCATTTTCTGTTTCTTTTATATTATTACATAATACAATAAGTAACAAGTTATAAAATATAATTGTTATAACTGTGTAACAAACTTAGAAAATAATACTTTTTTTGTAGTGGTAGGTATTATATGTAGGTACTTCAAAAAGTCTGTGAACTTTATGGATATAATTTCGTAACATATATAACTTCTATTACATATGTAACTTAACATATATATGTTACTTTATGGATTTATATATATCATACATATGTTACATGTATAATTTATCAACATATATAACTATGGATATCAATATGAATATAACATATTGTGTTATATATAATTTATTGCTTATTATAACAATCTTACATATTACATATGATATGAAATGAACTCATCCCTGTTTTTACTTTGAGAAGCCTTAATGCAGTTATGGAGTAAACTAAACAAGTAAATATAGGTTTTTTTTTTTTTTTTGACAGGCAGAGTGGACAGTGAGAGAGAGAGACAGAGAGAAAGGTCTTCCTTTGCCGTTGCTTCACCCTCCAATGGCCGCCGTGGCTGGTGCGCTGTGGCCGGCGCACCATGCTGATCCGATGGTAGGAGCCAGGTACTTCTCCTGGTCTCCCATGGGGTGCAGGGCCCAAGGACTTGGGCCATCCTTCACTGCACTCCCTGGCCACAGAGGAGAGCTGGCCTGGAAGAGGGGCAACCAGGACAGAATCTGGCGCCCCAACTGGGACTAGAACCCAGTGTGCCGGCGCCGCAAGGCAGAGGATTAGCCTAGTGAGCCGTGGCGCCGGCCAATATAGTTGTTAAAATTAGGTTTAGAAGAATATTTGATGATACTGAAGTATATTAAAAATGTACTAGTGTAAAAATGAAGCAGGTTGCTAACAGTCAAGCCCCACTGTCCAGTACCTCACTGAAAAAAGTTTGTAGAACAAAAGTGAGAAAAACCCATCAAATTCCTAAACTGTTTATCCCTGAATTTATGATCATAAATGAGCCTTAAAAACTAGTCTATTAGGGGCTGGCACCATGGTGCACTAGGGTAATCCTGTGCCTGCAGCGCCGGCATCCCATATGGGCACCGGTTCTAGTCTCAGCTGCTCCTCTTCCAATCCAGATCTCTGCTATGGCCTGGGAAAGCAAAAGAAGATGGCCCAAGTGCTTGGGCCATTGCACCCGCATGAGAGACCAGGAGGAATCCCCTGGCTCCTGGCTTCTGGTCGGCACAACTCCTGCCATTTCGGCCATCTGGAGAGTGAACCAACGGAAGGAAGACCTTTCTCTCTGTCTCTCCCTCTCACTGTCTGTAACTCTACCTCTCAATCAATCAATCAATCAATAAGATCTTTAGAAAACTAGTCTATTATATATGTCCTGAGCTTTCTACAGTGAACATAGATTATTTACATATAATAATTTTTTAAAGATTTTATTTATTTATTTGAGAGGCAGAGTTACAGACAGAGAGACAAAGAGTTCTTCCATTCACTGGTTCACTCCCTAAATGGCTGCACCAGCCTGAGCTTGGCCATTCCGAAGCCAAGAGCTAGGAGCTTTCTCTGGGTCTACCACGTGGGTGCAGGGGCCCATGGACTTGGGCCATCTTCTACTGCTTTCCCAGGCCATAGCAGAGAGCTGGGTCAGAAGTGGAGCAGCCAGCTCTCGAACTGGTGCCCATATGGGATGCCGACACTGCAGGAGGCGGCCTCACCCACTACACCAGAGCACTGGCCCTGAAAATAAGTGTTTAAGAGGAAAGCAAACCTGTATCAGCCTGTGTATTTATTTCCTTGGAGAGAGTGCAGCTGGACTTCTTTCCCAGCTTCGATGTTACTTGGTTTCATCTGTGTGATCTCAGAGTGGGGATCTAAGTGGGTACACAGTATGGCCAACTCTTACTCTGACTGAGGGGTTTTGTGAAACATTTCATTACATTTCAGATTGCTGAAAGATTTTTATTTGATTTTGTGAGCTGTTTCCCACAAAGAAGTTCTGTTTCAGGGGGTTTACTTGCCTGGAGACACATTTTATTCTTTTCTTCTTTCTAGATTTCACTTGCAGAATGACTGCTTTCAAGTGTAAATGTTTGTGCCTATCAGTAAAGGTGGTTTTTTTTATAAGGAGCAATATGTCTAACATTTTATACATTTCAATCAAATTTAGGAATTCTTAACTTTTGTTCCTTCCTCCCCCAGGGTAGAACAAGAAATAATGTCAAGAATCATCTCTGGGCTCCTTCCAGTCCGACAGCAGGACAGACCTGATGTCAGTGTCTCAGTCAGTGAGGCAAGTGAGCCTTTGTCCTCTGATGCTGGTAAGTGAAATGGAATTTTTTGTTTCTTTGCTATTGAAAAACAAAACCTGGGGCCCTCGCTGTGGCGCAGCGGGTTAATGCCCTGGCCTGAAGCACTGGCATCCCATATGGGCGCCGGTTCTAGTCCTGGCTGCTCCACTTCCAATCCAGCTCTGCTATGACCTTGGAAAGCAGTAGAAGATGACCCAAGTCCTTGGGCCCCTGCACCCGCATGGGAGACCCAGAAAAAGCTCCTGGCTCCGGATTGGTGCAGTTCTGGCCGTTGTGGCCAGTTGGGTAGTGAACCATCAGGGAGTGAACCATCGGATAGAAGACCTTGCTCTCTCTCTCTCTCTCTGCCTCTCCTCTCTCTGTGTAACTCTGACTTACAAATTAAATAAATAAATCTTTCAAAAAAAAAAAGAAAAACAAAACTTTTGGTTCGATATGGATTTCTATATTCCAGGAGTAAGTCAGTCTTTGGCTGACAGAGATAAGCTCTTACTTTAAGGCTTGCATCCCAGTGCTTCTCTGTAGTGAAGTTACTTCTCCCTTGCTCCCTGATTTCATATTGCAGTTTTCAGTTTATGCAGCCTCTCTCCACCCCTTCCACCCCAACACTTTCCACTGTTATCATGAGTATCAGATTACATATCTGACTCATTCAGGAATAAGGTTTACATATCTGACTCATTGAATATTAAAGATATTTCTCCTTCAGTGCCTAACCCTTCTCAGTCTAGGTTAGATTCTTAGCTCTGGCTCCTGACTCCAGCTTCCTGTTAATGCAGAACCTGGGAGGCAGTGGGGATAACACAAGTAGTTGGATTCCTGCCACTCATGTGAAGATCTTAATTGAGTTCCTGGCTTCTGGCTTCTGGGGTCAGGCTCCAGCCTGTTGCAGGCATTTGAGGGAGTGAACCAATGATAGGAACTCTGTCTCTCTGCCTTTCCTTCTGCTCTCCCCAATCCTCACCTCTCAAACAAATAAAAATTTCAAAGAGTTAAAGTATTCATTAAATGGTTAAATGAACTTTCTTTACAGAGCCCATGTCCTTTTGATTCTTCTTTCCCCCTTCCTCCTTATCCTTTTCCTCCCCCTCTACTTTTCATCAGATTTTTAAAGATACAATGTATTGGGGCCGGCAGGGTGGCGCAGAGGGTTAAAGCCCTGGCCTGAGGCGCCAGCATCCCTTATGGGCGCCGGTTCTAGTCCCAGCTGCTCCTCTTCTGATCCAGCTCTCTGTTGTGGCCTGGGATAGTAGTAGAAGATGGCCTGGGTCCTTGGGCCCCTGCACCTATGTGGGATACCTGGAGGAGGCTCCTGGCTCCTGGCTCCTGGCTTCTGGCTTCTGGCTTCGGATCAGCACAGCTCCAGCCATTGCAGCCATCTGGGGAGTGAACCATCGAATGGGAAACCTCTCTCTGTCTCTGCCTCTCTCTGTAACTGTCTTTCAAATAAATAAAATAAATCTTTAAAAAAAGATACAATATACTTTCCATAAAATTCGCCAGTTTTAAGTGTACAGTTCAATAAATTTTGATAAATACACACAGCTGTACAGTAGCCACCCAATTGTGAGACAGAAAAATGTTTCTGGGGCAGGCATTGTAGATTGCAATTTAAACCACCATCTGCAACTCTGGCATTTCTTATGAGCACCAGTTCAAATCCTGGCTACTCCACTTTTGATCCAGCTCCCTAGTAATGTACCTGGGAAAGCAGTAGAAGATAGCCCAGGCCACCCACATGGGAGACCCAGATGGAGTCCCAGGCTCCTTGCTGTGGCCTGACTCAGCCCTTGCTGTTGCTAACCATTTAGGGAGTGAACTAGCAAATGGAAGATCTCTCTCTCTCTCTCTCTCTCTCTCTCTCTGCCTCTCCTTCTCTCTGTGTAACTGTTTTACAATAAATGAATAAATCTTTAAAGAAAAGAAACAGAAGAACATTTCCATCATTCCCAGAGGTTCCCTTTTTCCACTTTGTAGATAAGTCCTAATCCCTGTAAGTGCTCACTGGCCCCTAACGAACACTGGCCTGCTTCTGGCTGCTTTCTATCACTGTATTTTTTTTTAAATTTTTAGGATTTCATACATATATAATCATGTAATATTTAGTCTTTTGTTGGCTGGTTTCTTTTTGTTTAGCATAAAGCTTTGACAATCAGGCTGTTGCATGTAGTGATATTAGACTATATGGAAATACTATAATTTGTTAGTACATTTATCAGTTGATGGATAATTTGTCATTTTGTTTTGGCTATTATGAATAAATCTATCAACATTTGCAACAATCTTTGCATAGACACATTTTTTTAAAGATTTATTTATATATTTGAAAGTCAGAGTTACACAGAGAGAGGAGAGGCAGAGAGAGAGAGAGAGAGAGGTGTCTTTCATCTGATGGTTCACTCCCCAGATGGCCACAAAGGCCAGAACTGCACCGGTCCGAAGCCAGGAGCCAGGAGCTTCTTCTGGGTCTCCTGTGTGGATGCAGGAGCCCAAGGACCTGGGACTTCCTCTACTGCTTTCCCAGGCCATAGCAGAGAACTGGATTGGAAGAGGAGCAGCTGGGTCTTGAATTGGCGCCCATATGGGATGCCGGAGCTTCAAGCCAGGGCGTTAACCCGCTGCACCACAGCGCCGGCCCCTGACACATCTTTTCATCTCTGTTGATCATATGAGAAGTAAATGCTTAACTTTGTAAGAAACTGCTAAGTATTTTGCAAAGTAGATATACTATTTTTCATTCCAGCTAATGAATGAGAGTTCCATTTGCCCCACATCTTCACCAATACTTAGTGTTGTCAATGTTTTTGTTCTAGCCATATATACATATGTGGAGATCTCTCATTGTTATTCTTATTTGCATTTCATTTTCTACTAATGATTGAGTAATGTAATTACCAATGATGACTAATTATATTGTAAAGCTTTTCATTGCTTGTTTACTAGCTTTATACTATTTTGGTGAAATATCTTTTCAAATCTTTTTGCCCTTTTTCAAGTTGAGGTTTGTGGCCTCATTGAGTTAAAACATTCTTTATTCTGTATATAAATCCATTATTGGGTATATTTTTGTTTGTTTCAAGAGAATTTCCATTATTTGTGTTATTATCTTAGTTTGTTGTATAAGTTGATATGTTTGTATTTTCATTTTTAGTCTCTTGTCACCCCCACATAAACACATATTGAATTTCAAACATTTTAAGAATTAAGGTTTGGCTTGCAAGCATGTTTCTTGCTCACTTACTCTGGAATTCTTTCATGTTTTAGTGGAAAGAACAAGCAGTGGTGTCCTCCGGCTTTTTGTTGACGCTGGGGTTCCTGTGAACTCAGATGTGGTTAGCCATTTTGTGAATGAAGCGCTTGCTGAGACCATTGCTGTCATGCTGGGTGACAGAGAAGCAAAGAACCCACATCCCACTGCTTCGGTCGTTCCTGGTGATGTTTTAACCAATGAAACAGACTTGCCGGTAGGGATGTCTCTCCTTCCACCTAGAATTCTGGGGAATTTTGATATATTATTAATAGCAAAATGGAAAAGCTATAAAAAGCATAATATGACATTATGCTGTGTGGTAGAATTTTATTCCTTGTTGCTGTGAATTAAAGTAACATTTTCCTAAGCATTTTATTTAAACTTTTAAAAAATCTGTATAAAGGTTGAAAGCATGAACACCTTCATACCCTGTGCGTTTATTTAGCAATTGATAGAATTTTGACAACTTTTCCCAATCTTTATATCTGCTATATATAATAAACTGGTTGAAAGTTGCAGACATCGTAACACTTTACTTTGAAAGCATCAGTAGTCTCTCCTAAGAACAAGATGTTATCTGTAAACCAAAACACCGTTGTCATACTGAATTTAACATTGATATGTTAATAATGTAGGATATGAGACCATATTCAAATTCCCTGATTATTACAAAAATGTCCTTTGTAGCTTTTTATTTTATTTTATTTTTTAAAAATATTTATTTTATTTATTTGAAAGAGTTACAGAGAGAGGTAGAGACAGAGAGAGAGATCTATCCATTGGTTCATTCATTCCCCAGAGGGCTGCAATGGCTAGAGCTGCGCCGATCCGGAGCCAGGAGCTTCTTCCGGGTCTCCCACATGGGCGCAGGGGCCCAACCAAGGACTTGGGCCATTTTCTACTGCTACTCCAGTCCACAGCAGAGAGCTGGGTCAGAAGAGGAGCAGCTGGGATTAGAACTCGCACCCATATAGGATGCCAGCACTTCAGGCCAGGGCTTTAACCCACTGTGCCACAGCGCTGGCCCCAGCTTATTTTTAATTTAAAATATATCCAAGGAGCACATGTTACTTTGGGTTACCATATAAACTGATTTTTTTAATCTTTTAAAAATATGTTTCAGATACTTTTATTATTGTTAGTTTAATTAGCCTTACTGTTGTTGGATTTTCTAACCTATTACAGCAGCATCGATTATACAGATCAAAAATTTACTCCACATTATCAGATGTTTAAAACTCCACAGACACTTCTGATGCTGCGTATATATCACAAAGAGATCATTTTATACAGGGAAATGTTTTAACTGATCCACATGGTATCTAAAATTATATATGTTTTTGACTTTTGTAGAGATTGGGAGTGTGATTAGAGTGCCAATGATTTAGTATGTAGTTTTTGTGTGTGTGTTTCAAAGATCTATTTATTTATTTGAAAGGCAGAGTGACAGGGAGACACACACATGCACACGTGCACACACAGATCTTCTGTGTACTAGTTCACTCCCCAAATTTCTATAAGAGCTAGGTCTGGGCCAGGCCAAAGCCAGGAGCCAGGAACTCCATCCTGGTCTCCCACGTGGGTGGCTGGAGCACAGCAGCTGGGACCGTGCTCTGCTGCCTTCCCAGGCACATTCACTGGAAGCTGCATTGGAAGCAGAGTAGCTGGGACTCCAACTGGCACTCCAATTTGGAGTGCTGGCGTTACAAGCAGTGGCTCAAACCCACCACAACAGTGGGCCTAGTAGATGGTTTTGAATTGTATTTTGTTAGTGCATTGGTAACATGTGCAGTGCAGATGTGGTGGGGATTAATTGTTTTCTCTATGACAGTTAAATTGACTTGATTTCTGCCCATATACTGAATATACTTTTATGAGGGTAATTGAATATGAGGAAAAACAAAATAGTATGAATAAGCAATTTATGTATTGTTAAAATCATGAATACAGTTGGTAACACCTTAATTTGAAATCCCAGATCTTTTACGTTAGTTTTATCTGCATAATAGAGAATCCTTAAAAGTTTAAAAAAAAACAAGCATTTTATCAAAATCTCTTTACTGAATATCTAGGGGGTCAAGACTTCTCTCTCCTTTCGCTCTTTCCACTCCCCAGTTTATTAATCCTTATCTTCAAGATTGTCTTGGCTTTCCTTGACCTTTTGTTATATTTAATATGTTGGCCACAAACTTACATATTTTAAAATTAGTTTTGGGGCTGGCACTGTGGCATAGCGGGTAAAGCTGCTGCCTGCAGTGCCAGCATCCCATATGGGTGCTGGTTCGTGTCCCGTCTGCTCCACTTCTGATCTAGCTCTCTGCTGTGGCCTGGGAAAGCAGTAGAAGATGGCCCAAGTCTTTGGGCCCCTGCACCTGTGTAGGAGACCTGGAAGAAGCTCCTGGCTCCTGGCTTCGGATTGGCGCAGCTCCAAGTGTTGTGTTCAGTTGGGGAGTGAACTAGCGATGGAGGTCCTCTCTCTCTGTCTCTCTGCCTCTCCCCTCTCTGTGTAACTCTGACTTTCAAATAAATAAATAAATCTTTAAAAATTAGTTTTTAAATTCCATAGAAATCATATTGGAATTTTCATGGGAATTAATCTAATTCTGATGGTGGTTTAATTTGGAAATAATCTACCTATTTGTAATACTGCCTTTTTTTAGCCGTCACATAAAGTTTCGTGAAAAATTAAATGAGATGATTTATGAAAAGAGCTTGTTATTCTGGTATATGGAACTTGATAAATACTTATAAGTAATAGTTCATCATCATTGTCCATTACCAACTCAAGGAGAATTTCGAATCATCCAGTGATGATGAGCTGGCAGCATTATATTTGAAAACAGTGATTTTATACCATAAGTGTATGCAGTCAAGAAGAAAAAGCACAGTATATTTCCTTCATTTTAAAATGAAGGCTAAAATACACTAATTACTCAGCAGTTCTATAGAATCTCTACCACGCTTCATGGTTTTAAACTGAATATTGAATCACTACTCATTATACAGAATAAAGGCTAATCACCATAATACATGAAGATTTTCTAGAATGAGAGGAGAAAAAGCATATTTTTAAAAATGGGTAAAGGTTATGATGAGCAAGTTCACACAAGAGAAAGACAAACTGTCCATATACATGTAAAAAAGATGGTCATCCTCAATACTTAATGTGAAAAAAATTCACTGCAATTCCATTTGTGCCAATCAAGTTGGCAGAACTACTCTACCAGCTTATTAATGCTGTTTCAAAACCTTAGGGAAATGGGCCTCTGCGTACCTTCCAGCAGTCATGTAAAATACTATAATCCTAAAGAAGGAATAGGCAAAATCTGTCCAAATTAACACTGCAATTAGCCCTTTAACCAATCAGCTCCACTTCTGGAAGTTTATTCCAGAGATAAATCTTCATGCATCTGAAATGACTTAAGATTATTTGATAACTCTGAGGAAGGGAACTAAAGTAGAAAAGACATAGGTAGGAGAGGAGACTTAGTTTTTGCTCTCATAGTTTTGTGCTTTTTGAATTTGGAACCATATGAATTGTTACTTCAACAAACCAATATTTATTTATTTATTTTAAGATTTATTTATTTATTTGAAAGTCAGAGTTACACAGAGAGAGGAGAGGCAGAAAGAGAGAGAGAGAGGTCTTCCATCCGATGGTTCACAACCCAGATGGCTGCAACGGCTGGAGCTGTGCCGATCCGAAGCCAGGGGCCAGGAGCTTCTTCCGGGTCCCCCATGTAGGTGCAGGGGCCCAAAGACTTGGGCCATATTCTACTGCTTTCCCAGGCCATCGCAGAGAGCTGGATTGGAAGAGGAGCAGCTGTGACTAGAACCGGCGCCCATTTGGCATGCCAGTGCTTCAGGCCTGGGCTTTAACCCACTGTGCCACAGCGCCGGCCCCAACAAACCAATATTTAAAATGTTCCCTCTTTCCCTCCCTAGACGTTTCCATCTTCTCATTGTATTCATCTCTCTCCACCCAACCCCTAATTTTTCTTATCCTTCCATTACGTGCTCTATTCTTTTGTGCTAAAAGGCCGATTTTATACAAAAATACATGTATGTGTAGATATAATAACACATGTATGTGTGTATGTGTGTATCTATCTATCTATCTATCTAAAATCTTGTCAAGCAGTTAAAATGCTTCCTTTCTGTTGCATGACCATCAAATTGATAGTTGGGTTTAATCTTCACCTGTATCTGTTTAATCTTCCTGTGTGTTTAAAAAAAAAGGATGCCTTAGGTTTCTTTGGGGCCTACATCAGAGGCAGACTTATTTCGATAGCCAGAGGGTTCCTTGAGGTCAATTTTAGCCTAACAGCCAACTGTTAAAGAGCCACGGTACTATGGCTACATTTCTTCCCATCTGTTTTAATTCTGTGTAGTCTATGAATGAGCTCATATTATTTCAAATGATTTTTATTTGAATGACTAAGAATGATTTATCTTGTTTCATTAATTTATATTAGGCAAGAGTGTGTACCCCAGTGGCTACCCCTCAGCCTACTCCTCCTCATTCACCATCACCTGCTAAGGAGTATGTGTTGATAGAAACCCCTGTTGCTTCTCCCTGTGATTCAGATCATGATGTGGCTCTCCCTGTGAAAGAAATCCTTGCTGAAAAAGGTATAAACCTTATTTTCTCTAAATCAGGTTTAGCAACTATTAAGTAAAATTTTATGATTTGTTTGATAAAATGTCTTGTAGATTAATACATTCTTGTTACTAGGTTTTAGTATACCATTTTTTCTTGCAAGAAAATTAAGGAAATGATTGCCACTTCTCACAGTGTATAATCTATTAAGACACTCCGAGTATTTTATTTTTTCCCAAAGAAACTTTTTATTTAAGAGATACAAATTTCATAAATACAACTTTAGAAGGTAGTGATTCTTCCCACCATACCCACCCTGCCACCCATACTCCCACCCCTCCTTGTCCTCTCTCTCCCATTCCCAGTCCCATTCTCTATTAAGATTCATTTTCAATTAACTTTATACACTAAAGAGCATCTCTATAAGTAAAGATTTCAAGTTTGCACACACACACACACACACACACTCACACACACTAAAACCAAAACCATTTGAGAACAAGTTTTACAGTTAACTCTCAAAATACAACTCATCAAGGACTTAGTTCCTGCATGGGAACTAAATGCACAGTGACTCCTGTTAATTTAACAATTAACGCTCTTATGTATGACGTCAGTGATCACCTGAGGCTCTTGACATGAGCTTCCTAGGTTAAGGAAGCCTTCTGAATCCACAAACTCCGTCAGTATTTAGACAAGGCCATAAGCAAAGTGGAAGTGCTCTTCCTCCCTTCATAGAAAAGTACATCCTTCTTTGATTACCACTTCTTCCCACTGGGGTCTGACTCACAGAAATACTTCATGTAGGACATTTTTTGCCACAGTGTCTTTGCTTTCTATGTCTAAATGCTCTTGTGGGCTTTTCAGCCAGACAAGGATGCCTTAAGGGTTGATTCTGAGGTCAGAATGCTGCTCAAAGTGATTGTCAGACTACTTTAAGTATATGATGGTGTTAAAAGTGATGTCTTTTCAAGATTTTTTTGTACTTTGCTAAATTAATTTGGGAATTTTACCATTAATGACCACCATTATCATCATTATTTATTAATGGTTATGCTATATATTAAGGGATGTCAGAAGCAAAATATCTTGGCTTCCAATGGATTTATTTGCTGAGTTTCATCTTTTTCTTTCTCTTTTAGAAAGATCTTTAGGAAATGATATGCCTGCCATCACCCTTATTAATACTCCAGCAGTCACTCCTGCTACAACACCTCCTCCAGCAGCAGCTGTTACCCCAAGTTTGTCAGAGATTTCCATCGAGAAGTTGAAGATACCGAGCCCAGAGCTTCCTAAGCCATGGGCTGATGGAGACCTGCCTTTGGAAGAAGAGAATCCTAACTTTCTTCAAGAAGAGCTTCCTTACCCAAGAGCTATGTAAATGAGAACATGTGATTTTCCCCTTGGTATCTGGGGGTGATTGGTTCTAGAACGATGCCCCACCCCCACCCCTCACCATGAGTACTGAAGTCCACAGATGCTCAAGACCCTTAGGAAAACTGGCATAGTATTTACAGGCAATCCACTCATGTCTTCTCACAGAATTTAAATCGTCTCTAGATGACTTACAATACCTAACACACCTAAGTGCTATGTAACTAGTTGTGTTGTGTAGGGAGTGCTGACCTGAAAAATCTGTGCATATTCTGTATGGGTAAACTATCATTGATCTGGGATTGGTTGAATGTATGATGTGGAACCTAAGGCTATGGAGGGCCAACTCTGTTTCCTTTTGGTAGCTCTACATTCCAACTTAAGGTTGACTTATGTAACCCATTGAAAACATTCAAGGGGCCAGCACTATGGCATAGTGGGTAAAGCCACTGTCTGTGGTGCCAGCATCCCATATGGTGTCAGTTCATATGCTAGCTGCTGTTCTTCTGGTCCAGCTCTCTGCTATGGCCTGGGAAAACAGTGGAAGATGGCCCAAGCCCTTGGGCCCCTGTACCTGCATGGGAGACCTGGAAGAAGCTTCTGGCTTCTGGCTTTGGATCAGCCCAGCTCTGGTCATTGCAGCCATTTGGGGAGTGAGCCTGCAGATGGAAGACCTCTCTCTTTCTCTCTCTCTCTCTCTGCATCTGCCTCTCTGTAACTCTGCCTTTCAAATAAATAAATATCTTTTTTTAAAAGAAAGAAAACATGCAAATGATAAAACTTTTATAAACCAGAAACTATATTTTAGAAGGAAGAACTTTCATAAATATTAAGTTCTTAAAATTACCAAATATATCTGTATCTTCATCTCTTTCTATTTTTTTTTAATTTATTTTATTTAAAAGGCAGTTACAGAGAGAGGGAGAAACATCTGCTAGTTCACTCCCTAAGTGGACCGCAATGGCCAGGGTTAGTCCAGACCAAAGCCAGGAGCCAGGAACTTCATATGGTTCTCCCATGTGGGTGGCAGGGGCTCAGGTACTTTGGTCATCTTCCACTGCTTTCCCAGGCGCATTAGCAGGGAGCTGGATCAGTTGCAGTAGCCAGGACTCAAACCAGTGCCCATATAGGATGCCAGCATCGTAGCTGACAGCTTAACCTGCTGAGCCACACTGCCAGTCTCCATCTTTTTCTTTCTTTTTTTCCTTTTGTTTTAGCAGGTTTCTTTTCTTCTTTTCTTTTTCCTTTTTTTTTTTAATCTATTTTATTTATTTGAAAGATCTACAGAGAGAGGTAGAGACAGAGAGAGAGAGGTCTTCCATCAGCTGGTTCATTCTCCAAATAGCTGCAGTGGCCGGAACTGAGCTGATCCTAAGTTAGGAGCCAGGGGCTTCTTCCAGATCTCCCACATGGGTGCAGAGGCCCAAGGACTTGGTTCTTCTGCTGCTTTCCCAGGTGCATTAGCAGGGTGCTAGAGCAGAAGTGGAGCAGCCCCATATGGGATGCTGGTGCTTCAGGTCAGGGCTGTAACCCACTGTGCCAAGCGCTGCCCCCCACATCTCTTTCTTAAAATATTTGAAATAGACTAAAATACAGCTGTTTCTCACATTGTTAATATTAGAAAATAACTTCTCCACAATGTGGATCATCATTTACTGTGATCAGTTAACTTTTATCTGACTATATATTTGCACATAGATTTATTTTGTGACTGAAAGAGCTTCCAGGATAACTACAATAAAAGTATAAAAACAGGTAAAAGCAGGGGCCAGCACTGTTGCATAGCGGGCTAAGCATCTGCCTGTGGTGCCGGCATCGCATATGGGCGCTGTTTAAGTCCTGGCTGCTCCTCTTCTGATACAGCTCTTGGCTATGGTCTGGGAAAGCAGTAGAAGATGGCCCAAGTGCTTGGGACCCTGTACCCGAGCGGGAGACCTGGAAGAAGCTTCTGGCTCCTGGCTTCGGATCAGCCTAGCTCTGGCGGTTGTGGCCATTTGGGGAGTGAACCAGTGGATGGAGGTCCTTTCTCTCTGTCTCTCCCTTTCTGTGTCTATAACTCTGTATCAAATAAATACATAGATAGATAAATAAATAAATAAAAATAAAAAACAAGGCTTTTAAAAAGAAGCATAAAAGCAATTTTAGAAAAATAAATTTCCTTAATTACAATAGTATAGATTATGGTGATACTTTGTTAAAGGAGACATTTCTGCTTTTATATCAGTGGCCTTCAGGAATCCAGTATGTTCATAATATGTCTTCATTTGCCTAGTGTCATGTCTGTGGCTAAAGATGAAGAACCTGAGAGTGAGGATTTCCCAGCTCAGCCTGCGGCTCCAGAAGCAGTGCCCCTCACACCGTTTCCTGCCAGTGCCAAAGCTCCTTCCTCCTCCCAGATGCCAACTTCTGATTCATCAACACCGGAGAGCACTTTGAGTGTCACTGTCACCGAAACAGAAACTCTAGATAGGCCCATCTCTGAAGGAGAGATTTTATTTAACGTTGGACAAAAATTGGCTACCAGTGGTAAGTTAACTTGTATTAATTGATTTCACTGGTTAGGTTATAACTTCCTTGGGAGGGAATACTTTTGTTTTAAAGGTTTTTCATTTAATTTTCAAGACTTAACATGGTATAGTAGAAAGTGCAAGGGCTCTGTGTAAGTTAGTTACCTTTTAAGAGCTCTAATTTCAGAATATAAAATCTTCCTTATAATCCCACCCTCTGGAATTAGTATCAATTTTAATAGTTTGAGGACATCCCCTTTTTGTCTGCATGTATACATACCTAATTATATCCATATGTATCTATATATTTAAAAATAGTATGTAATACATACTATCTCAAATCCTGAATTTTTTACGTAATGTGGACATCATTCAATATTAATATATATGTCTACCTTATTTTTTTCCCAAATGTTTGTTTTCATCCACTTGAAAGAAAGAATAAAACACACACACACACACACACACACAGATCTTCCATCTGCGGGTCGATATGGGCATCTCAAGTAGTGACTTTACCTACTGTGCCCTAACTCCTGCCCCTATGCTATATTTTTAAATATCTGAGTTGTATTATTTTTAAATGATATTTCAAGGGCTTTTAGATGTTTTTTTCTTTTAAAAATTTATTTACTTATTTATTTGAAAGGCAGAGAGGTAAAGAGAGGCAGAGGCAGAGACAGGGAGAGAGGTCTTCCATCCGCTGGTCCACTCCCCAGATGGCTGCAACAACCAGAGCTAGGCTAATCCAAAACCAGGAGCCAGGAGATTCTTCCAGGTCTCCCACATGGGTTCAGGGGCCCAAGGACTTGGGGGGCATCTACTGCTTTCCCAGGCCATAGCAGAGAGCTGGATTGGAAGTGGAGCAGGACTTGAACCAGCACCCATATGGGATGCTGGCGCCACAGGTGGCTGCTTTTGCTGCTATGTCAGAGTGCTGGCCCATTCATTTTTTTTTTAAAGATTTATTTATTTATTTGAAAGTCAGAGTTACACAGAGAAAGGGTAGAAAGAGAGAGAGAGAGAGAGAGAGAGAGTGATAGAGATAGGTCTTCCATCCACTGGTTCACTCCCCAGATGGCTGCAATGGTTGGAGCTGTGCCGATCCGAAGCCAGGAGCCAGGAGCTTCTTCCAGGTCTCCCACATGGGTGCAGAGGCCCAAGGACTTGGGCCATCTTGTACCGCTTTCCCAGGCCATAGCAAAGAGCTGGATCGGAAGAGGAGCAGCCGGGTCTTGAACCGGCGTCCATATGAGATGCCGGCGCTTCAGGCCATGGCATTAACCCGCTGCACCAAAGCGCCGGTCCCAGGTGTTTTTTTTTTTGTTGTTGTTTTTTGTTTTGTTTGTTTGTTTGTTTTGTTTTTGACAGAGTTAGACAGTGAGAGAGAGAGACAGATAAAACGGTCTTCCTTACATTGGTTCACCCCTCAAATGGCCGCTACTGCCGGAGCTACACCAATCCGAGGCCAGGAGCCAGGAGCTTCTTTCTGGTCTCCCATGCGGATGCAGGGGCCCAAGCACTTGGGCCATCCTCCACTGCCTTCCCAGGCCACAGCAGAGAGCTGGACTGGAGGAGAAGCAACCGGGACTAGAACCTGGCGCTCATATGGGATGCTGGCGCCACAGGCGGAGGATTAATCAAGTGAGCCACGGTGCTAGCCCTGATTTTTTTTTTTAAAGGAAATTTTAAAAAAAGATTTATTTATTTATATGAAAGTCAAGAGTTACACAGAGAGGAGAGGCAGAGAGAGAGAGAGAGAGGTCTTCCATCTGATGGTTCATTCCCCACTGGCCGCAACGGCTGGAACTGCACCGATCCGAAGCCAGGAGCCAGGAGCTTCTTCTGGGTTTCCCACGTGGGTGCAGGGACCCAAGGCTTGGGCCATCTTCCACTGCTTTCCCAGGCCACAGAAGAGAGCTGGATAGGAGGAGGAGCAACTGGGACTAGAACCGGCGCCCATATGGGATGCTGGTGCTTCAGTCTGGGACATTAACCTGCTGTGCCACAGTGCCAGCCCCAGGAAAAAAATTTTTTAAGGTTTATCTTATTTTTGTTTGAAAGGCAGAGTTAGAGAGAGAGGTAGAGCAGAGAGAGAGAAAGAGAAGCTTATGTGCACTGGTTCACTCCCCAAATTACCACTGTGGCCAGGGTGAGGCCAGGCCCAAAGCAGGGACTGCCTTCATCTGGGTCTCCCATGTGTGAACAGGGCCCCAAATCATCTTCTCTCCACTTTCCCAGGTGTATTAGTAGGGAGCTAGATAGGAAGTGGAACAACCGGCACTCAAACTGGTACCCATATGAGATGCCAGCATAGCAGGTGGTGGTTTAACCCATCAGGCCAGATTGCCAGTCCCATTTATCAGTTTTAATTTCATTAATATTATATAGAAATCCCTATTTCTCAATTTTTTAGTTACAGTTGCTTTCTATAGTCCCTTTCAGTTCTGACAGCTAGTTGGTGAAACAGGAATCTTGTGTTGTAAACTGTACTTTGAAAAATACTGCTGAGATTGAGTAGTTAGTTATTTACTTGTTTTTTACTATCCCAGTATTTTATTGCAGTATAAGTTTGACTGTAACATTCTGTGGCTTATCATGGTCAGATGATTTACTAAATTTGTGTTTTTTCTTTTTTCTAAATAATTACATTTTAATTTATAGTTTTAGGAGATGGAGGGCTGTATTTGACAAATCTAAATGATAGCCTATCCAGCACTCTGCAGGATGCCCTTGAAATGGTAAGGACATTGAATTCTAATGGGAACTTGTTGCCATTCATCAGATTTTTTGGTTCAGTTATTTGACACAAATTTTAGTAAAATATCTAGAAGGAATTTAAGGTTTCTTTCACATTTCATTATGTAATCTTATGAGAAAGAAAATTATTAATCTCTCTGGCTCCAGCAATTGCAGGGAAGAAAAGGAACACAGTTAATATAATCAGGTAATTATATATAGCTCTATGCAAATTATTCCCTGGATATGTTGGCTTTAGAATATTTGAACAAGACCTTAACTATTTAAAGCAACTCTCTTATATTGCAACTGTTATGTGTCCCTAACCACAATTAAAATTGTTTGTGCTAATACATATTTAAATTTAATGGCTTTCAAAGGAAAAACTGAAATAGGATCCAGGGATACTGTACAGGAGAAAAAATCGGCATTAAAAATATTACATATATGCATATATATATATAATTCAGAAGTGATAGTAGGAATTTTCTTTTGAAAAAAATTACTAGGAAATAGAAATTTTTACCTTGCATATATTTTCAACAATCTAAGCAAGAAAAGGTAATTATACTCAACTGTCATCTTTATTTATCCATATCTTTTGCTAAGCATTGCTGTTATCACTGTTTTTTAAAATATTATTTTGCACAGGAGTATAAAAATACTTCATTAGGGAGTTTGTTTTAAATGCTATTCACTTTTTATTTATTTATATATTTATATTTATTTGAAGGCAAGGTGACAGAGAAAGAGATAGAGACACACAAAAGACAGAGATCTTCCGTCTCTCTCGTCTCTGCAACAACTTGGGCTGGGCCATGCTGAAGCGAGGAGCTGGGAACTGCATGCTGGCCTCCCTGTGGGTGGTGGGGACTCAAGCACTTGAGCCATCATCTGCTCCCTCCCTGAGCTGCATTGGAAGAGGGAGTGTGACTTGATCCTAGGCTCTCTGATATGGAATATGGGCATTCCAAGCAGTGGCTTGACCCCCTTAGGGCATAATGGCCACTCTATTAAGGAGGCTTTTTTTTTTTTGTTTTCTTACAGGCAGAGTGGACAGTGAGAGAGAGAGACAGAGAGAAGGTCTTCCCTTTGCCGTTGGTTCACCCTCCAATGGCCGCCGCGGCCGGCGCGCTGCGGCCGGCGCACCGCGCTGATCCGATGGCAGGAGCCAGGAGCCAGGTGCTTTTCCTGGTCTCCCATGGGGTGCAGGGCCCAAGCACCTGGGCCATCCTCCACTGCACTCCCGGGCCACAGCAGAGGGCTGGCCTGGAAGAGGGGCAACCGGGACAGAATCCGGCGCCCCGACCGGGACTAGAACCCGGTGTGCCGGCGCCGCTAGGCGGAGGATTAGCCTAGTGAGCCGCGGCGCCGGCCTAAGGAGGCTTTTTTAAATAATGTTTTAATGGAACAGTTGATTTTTTTTAAATACATTTTTTAAACACATTTTTAAATACATTTTTTGTTTAAATACATTTGACATTTTTTAAAAACATTTTTTTGTTTAAATACATTTGACAGGCAAAGTTACAGAGAGAGGGAGACAGGTCTTCCATCCACTGGTTCACTCCCCATATGGCCACAATGACCAGGGATGGACCATGCCGAATCCAGGAGCCAGGAGCCTCATCTAGGTTTCCCATGTCTGTGGCAAGGGCTCAAGCACTTGGGCCAACCTCCAACTGCTTTTCGCAGGCACCTTAACAGGAAGCTGGATTGGATGCCCATGTGGGATGCCAGTGCAGTGTTGCAAGCAGAGGCTTAACCTGCTGTGCCACAACACTGGCCCTGAACAGTTTATTAAAATTTTTTTAAAAGATTTATTTATTTATTTGAAAGGCAAAATAACAGAGAGGGGGAGAGAGCATGAAATCTTTCGTCCTGCTGGTTTACTCCCCACATGGCTGCCATGCCCGAAGCTGGGAGTCAAGAGCTTCTTCCGAGTCTTGTGTGGGTGCAGGGACCCAAGCACTTGGGCCATCCTCTGCTGCTTTCCCAGATACGTTAGCAGGGGGCTGGATTGAAGTGGAGCAGCCAGGACTCCAACAGTGCTCATTCGGGAAGGCCAGCACCGCAGGTGGCGTTTCACCCGCTACACCACAGTGCTGGATCCAGCAGTTTTTTTTAATAGTGATTATTGATCACAAATGATTGGTTGACTATATTGTGAAGAGTATACACAATCAATTTTATGAAATAATATGGAGTAAAGGAATAAATGAAACATCTTTATTCTCACAGAAACATTATAGTAATGTTTGGCTTATTTTATATGCTATTAAAGCATTTTTATCTATTCTTAGAACTTATCCAAATGCTACCACATGTTTACGTTTCTTTAAATAGCTAAATTGAACTAGTACTAAATTATAACTTCTTTCTTTTTCTACATTTGAAACTAAATTCTAATTTATATTTTAAGATGCTTAAATTAACTATGCTACAAGTTTATACGAAAGTCAAATTCAAAAGAACAATCTGGAAAAACACAGAATAATTTGACTGTATCAGTAGGTGTTTATCTATGAATATATGGGAATATATGAGCTTTTTATTCCAAAGTTGATCAACTTTATTTCACTAAAAATAAAATAATTTAGGGTGGTAGACATTTGGCACAGGAATTCCAGCTCCCTGCTAATGTGCACCTTAGGAGGCAGCAGGTATTAGATCAGGTGGTTGGTTCCCTGTCACCCAGACTGAGTTCTGAGCTCCTGGTTTCATCCTGGTCTGGCTCTGGCTGTTGTGGGCTTTTGAGAAATGAACTAGTAGGTAGAAAGTCTCTTCCTTCCTCTCTGCCTTTCAAATAAAAAATTATTTTTCAAAAAATTTTGCTCTTTATGAACTTCAGAACATTTTAATGCCTATATTTACAAGGGAACGAGTTTATCTAAAATTGTTGTATAAAATTCTTTTTTGGCTGTGTGTATAAGGTGCATATGAATGATAAATGAATTTTGTGTTTAGACTTGGTTCCCATTGCCAAGATACCTCATTCTGTGTACATGAATATTCCACTATCCAAAATCTGAAAACACTGCTGGTTTCAAGCATTTTAGATGAGTATACCCAATCTGTATTGTTGTTTGATGACTGCTGAGTTTTTATCAATCGAAAATGGAGAAAAATGGAATGGTCTGATAAAATTTTGTTGTGCTGTCTTTTTGTTTCTTTCAGGAAGATGATTCTCCCAGCGAAGGACAAGTGATTAGGAAACCCCATAAAGAATGTCGTACAGAGGCAGTTCTTTCTCTTCTTGCTAAACAAAACCAGGAGCCAGGAGTTTCAGAGCAAGCAGCCTGTCATGCAGAGGTACTTCCCCAGGGAAAAAGCTTTATTTAACACTATTAAAATTGTCTCCTTCAATCTGCGCTAATCTGAAGCCAGGAGCCAGGTGATTCTTCCTGGTCTCCCATGCAAGTGTAGTGGCCCAAGCACTTGGGCCATCCTCCACTGCCTTCCTGGGCCACAACAGAGAGCTGGACTGGAAGAGGAGCAGCTGGGACTAGAACCTGGTACCCATATGGGATGTCGGTGCCGCAGGCAGAGATTAATCAAGTGAACCACGGCACCGGCCCCCATAGGTATAATTGCTTCATAGGTATAATTTTTTTAAGATTTTTTTTTTTTTTAATTTGGAAGACATAGTTGCAGAAATAGAGAAATATCTTTCATCCAAATTCATTTGGGATTTCACTCCCCAATGGCCACAATGACTGGGACTGGGTCATGACAAAGCCAGGAGTTTGGAACTCCACCCAGGTTCCCTGTGTGCATGGCAGAGGCCCAAATACTTGTGCCATCTTCTGCACATTAAAAGGAAGCTCCATTGGAAGCAGAGCAGCTGTGACTTGAACTGGTGCTCAAATGGGCTGCCAGTGTCGCAGGTAGTGGCTTAACTTGCTGTGCCACAACGCCGGCCCCTAGGCGTAATACTCATGCTTTTTAAGTTATAGTATTCTCCCCTTCAGCTGCTTCATTGTAAAGTACATGCTAACAGCATTAGGCAGTTTTTATTCATGATGAGATTTATGCAAGTATTTTCTGTTACTCTACTTTTAAGCTGCATGAACAGTGTTTAACAGGTGCCAGGAATTAGCATTTTAAAGTATAATAGCATTTTTCTTACATGTTTTATTGCTGTCTAGTAGGAAGTTGAAAAACAGGTAATAGTTAATTTCATAAAAAATAAGATATTCAAAAGCCTATCATCAGCTGCCTTATTAAGCTAACTTTAATATAGCTTGGTTTTCATTCAGTGTGCATGTGGCATGATAAGCACTTTCTGAAACCTTGAAGTAGTTAAGTGGTATGGGTTGTGTTTGATTATAATCCAAAGGTTTTAACAATTGTTTATGCTCCGCAAAGGACTTGGAAAACAGTGTGGGCGAACTGAGTGAAGGGCAGCGGCTCGGGCTGCCGGCAGCTGCGGAGAGCGTCCCGCTGGGACGTGCTGTGCGCGCTCCGCAGCCTGGTATCCACGCGGCGTCTTTGCGACAACAGTGGGATCCTCAGCCGTCACCTCAGCAGCTGGGCACAGTGTCAGGTATACACCAAAATACTGTTTTGGATATATCCTCTGTGAGAATATTCACTTTACATCCCGTCACACTTTTCGTTGAACTGTTTCCATGCTGAGTGTTTTATTTTATAATCTACAGTATATTCCTAATCTAAATTGAGAAAAGTATAACTCTTTACAGATGGGGCTTGCAAATTTTTTTATTAAAAGAAATGTTTATAAATGAAAAGTTTTCCTGTGATAGATACATGGCGGCACTTCCCAAAATGTGATTCTTGTATCAGTGCTTGCATGTCAACCACAGGATAGGACATCAGATTATTCTGATAATACGAATATGTAGACTTAACATTTTTTAATAGTAATGGATTTATTTTAATGTTTGCTACAAAAGTACAGCTAGCCCAACAAAACTGTGACATGACAGATCTTCTTGTTTAGGATATTGCTCAATCAGATGATACTGTAGGAATTCACTCCTGGGGCAGGCACCATGGCTCACTTGGTTAATCCTCCGCCTGCGGCGCCGGCATCCCATGTGGGTGGGTTCTAGTCCTGGTTGCTCCTCTTCCAGTCCAGCTCTCTGCTATGGCCCAGGAGGGCAGTGGAGGATGGCCCAAGTGCTTGGGCCCTGCACCCGCATGGGAGACCAGGAGGAAGCACCTGCACCGGCCATTTGTGGGGTGAACCACAGAAGGAAGACCTTTCTCTCTGTCTCTCTCTCTCTCTCACTGTCTATGAATCTACCTGTCAAATAAATAAAATAAATAAGCCGGCGCCGTGGCTCAATAGGCTAATCCTCCACCTTGCGGCGCCGGCACACCGGGTTCTAGTCCCGGTTGGGGCGCCGGATTCTGTCCCGGTTGCCCCTCTTCCAGGCCAGCTCTCTGCTATGGCCAGGGAGTGCAGTGGAGGATGGCCCAGGTGCTTGGGCCCTGCACCCCATGGGAGACCAGGAAAAGCACCTGGCTCCTGGCTCCTGCCAGGATCAGCGCGGTGCGCCGGCTGCAGCGGCGGCCATTGGAGGGTGAACCAGCGGCAAAGGAAGACCTTTCTCTCTCTGTCTCTCTCTCTCACTGTCCACTCTGCCTGTCAAAAATAAAAAAATAAATAAATAAATAAATAAATAAATAAAATAAATAAATAAATAAAAAATAAAATCATCCCTTTGGTCAAAGAAGGAGGTACTTAAAAAAAAAAGAAAAAAAAAGAAATTCACTCTTTATGTTGTATGAATGTTAGACACAGTGTTCAGTGTAGCCAGGACTATTTTAGAACTTAACTAACTAAAGTTTCTGCTGTTTAGAAATAGAAACAAAGATAAGGTAGAGAAAACTAACCACCAGCATGCTTTGATTCTCATTACGTGATTGTAGTTATCTGTGGCAGCTATATTCTATTAAGTCACCACAAACATAGTAACAAATATTGAACCATTCCTCCTAGAGGAAATACAGGGTTCAGTGCCTGCTAGTTTGTAGTCGTGAATGTTTGTAACTGATAATTACATAACTTGGTTTTAAGTGTGTTTCAGTATATTTTTAGTGGCTTACACATGATTTTTTTTCAAAATTTATTTATTTGGAAGTTTGAGAAAGAATCTTCCATCCATTGGTTCATTCCCTGAATGCTCTCAACAACCAGTGCTGGGCCGCACTGAAACTGGGAGCTGGGAACGCAATCTAGTTCTTCTGCATGGGTGGCAGGGACACAAACGACTTGAGCCATTACCTGCTGCCTTCTAGGATATGCATTAGCATCAAGCTAGAGTCAGAAGTGGAACCAGGGGGCCGGCACTGTGGCCTGTAGCGCAAGAATCCCAAATGGGTGCCGGTTCTAGTCCCAACTGCTCCTCTTCCGATCCAGCTCTCTGCTATGGCCTGGGAAAGCAGTAGAAGGTGGCCCAAGTGCTTGGGCTCCTGCACCCATGTGGGAGAACTGGAGGAAGCTCCTGGCTTGGCTTCAAATTCGCCCAGCTGCATTTGGGGAGTGAACTAGCGGATGGAAGACCTTTTTCTCTGTCTCTTCCTCTCTTTCTCTTTGTAACTCTGCTTCTCAAATAAATAAAACAAAACAACAACAACAAAGAAACCAAACACACACAAATTCCATCCCATCCTACTCTCTTAAAAAAAAAAAAAAAAGTGGAACCAGGACTCAAAACCAGGTACTCTGCTATGGAATGCAGGTATTCAAGTGGCATTTTAATTGCCACACCAGACACCTGCTCCTGTGTTTCTATTTAGAAGCATGTTACTTAATATATATTGTTGATTCATTGATCTTGAACTCACAACCAACAGCACTATGCTTGGGAGCCACTTTAAACAGTGAAATTATCAAAAATAGGAACAGTGAAAATTGTGGCATGAAATATACCATGGAATGTCACTTGTTTATAGTGTAAAAGCTAAAATAAGAAAGCAGAGTGGCCGGTGCCACGGCTCAATAGGCTAATCCTCCGCCTTGCGGTGCTGGCACACCAAGTTCTAGTCCCGGTCGGGGTGCCAGATTCTGTCCCAGTTGCCCCTCTTCCAGGCCAGCTCTCTGCTGTGGCCTGGGAGGGCAGTGGAGGATGGCCCAAGTGCTTGGGCCCTGCACCCCATGGGAGATCAGGAGAAGCACCTGGCTCCTGGCTTCCGACCAGCGCGATGCGCCGGCCACAGTGTGCTGGCCACGGCAGCCATTGGAGGGTGAACCAACGGCAAAGGAAGACCTTTCTCTCTGTCTCTCTCACTGTCCACTCTGCCTGTCAAAAAAAAAAAAAAAAAAAAAAAAAAAAAGACAGTGTCTTTCTCTTCAGCCTCAGCTGAGAAATTGCACATCATGTGATTCAAATTTTTCACCACTCTACCCAGGTCCAAGAATTATGATGTGGGTAGTTTGAGTATTACTTTTGGGGTTACAAATAAATTTTAGCGAGTAGGTAAATTTGCAGATCCATAATTTACAAGTTAATGAGGATCAACTATATTTTCATTACTGATTTTTCCATGCTTATTGCTTTATTCTCTTAGGTGAAAAGACACTTCTGTAGGCCTAAAATTAGAAAAATTGTGATACATATTTAGAGGGTTGGTATTATTAATATCATTCAGAATTGAGAGAAATCCAAGACTGAATTATCTATGATAATAAATACAAAAATTGGTTTTACTTTTTATTTTTCCCACATAGGGAGATTTCAACTTAGTGAGATTTAAATGGCATAGAGTGTAACAAGTTTCTATCAGCTACCTCATTGAAATGCAGTGAAATGGAACAGCCACCAGATGGCTCCCACAGATCACTTGAGAGTCAGTAGGTACTTGGGAGCCACTAATTACTTGCTGAATTGTTTCTAGCATTTCTATTTTTTTAAAAAAAGATTTATTGAATTATTTGAAAGGCAGGATTATAGAGAGGTAGAGGCAGAGAGAGAGAGAGAGAGAGAGAGAGAGAGAGAGAGATCTTTCTTGCACTGGTTCACTGCGCAGTTGGCTACAATGGCTGGAGTTGAGCCAGTCCAAAGCAGAGAGCTGGATTGGAAGTGGAGCAGCCGGGACTCGAAATGGCACCCATATGGGATGCCAGCACTGCAGGCAACAGCTTTACCTGCTATGCCACAGCGCTGGTCCAGAGTTTCTATTCTGTTCAATTTGTCTATCTATCTGTTTTTGTACCAGTACTGTTTTGATTAAAACTGTTTTGTAGTATGTCTTGAAATCTGGTATTGTGATTTCTCTGACTTTGTTTTTGTTGTATAAAATTGTTTTAGCTATTCGAGATCTCCTGTGTTTCCATATGAAAATCAGCATCATTTCTTCTGTATCTGAGAAGAATGTCTTTTGTATTTTGATTGGTATCACATCGAATCTGTAAATTGCTTTCGGTAGTATGGACATTTTGATGATACTGATTTTTCCAAACCATGAACATGGAAAATTTTTCTATTTTTTTGTATCTTTTTTTTTCTTTAATGTTTTGTAATTCTCACCATAGAGATCTTTGACTTCCTTGGTTAAATTTATTCCAAAGTATTTGAATTTTTTTGGAGCTATTGTGAATGGGATTTATCTTAGTTCTTTCTCAGCCATGGCATTGTCTGTGTATAAAAAGGCTGTTGATTTTTGTGTACTGATTTTATATCCTGCTACTTTACCAAATTCTTCTATCAGTTCCAATAGTCTCTTAGTGGAGTCTTTTGGATCCCCTTTATGTAGAATCATGTCATCTGCAAATAGGGATAGTTTGACTTCCTTTTTCCCGTTTTATCCCTTTGATTTCTTTTTCTTGCCTAATGGCTTTGAGTAAAACTTCCAGGACTGTATTGAATACCAGTGGTGAGAGTGGGCATCCTTGTCTGGTTCTAGATCTTAGTGTGAATGCTTCCAACTTTTCCCCATTCAATAGGACGCTGGCCATGGGTTTGTCGTAAATTGCATTGGTGTGTTATAGAATATTCCTTGTATACACTATTTGCTTAGAGTTTTCATCATGAAATGATGTTGTATTTTATCAAATGCTTTCTCTGCACCTATTGAGATAATTGCAGGTTTTTTTAAAATATTTATTTATTTATTTGAAAGTCAGAGTTACACAGAGAGAGGAGAGGCGCGCGCGGGGGTGGGGGGGGTCCTCCATCGGCTGGTTCACTCCCCAATTGGCCACAATGGCCAGAGCCACACTCATCTGAAGCCAGGAGCCAGGAGCTTCCTCTGGATCTCCCATGTAGGTGCAAGGGCCCAAGAACTTGGGCCATCTTCCACTGCTTTCCCAGGCCTTAGAAGAGAGCTGGATCAGAAGTGGAACAACCAGGTCTCGAACCAGTGCCCACATGGGATGCTGGCACTTCCGGCCAGGGTGTTAACCCACCACACCACAGTACTGGCCCCTGTTCTGCAGTTTGTTAATGTGATGTATCACATTGATTGATTTGAGAATGTTGAGCCATCCGTGCATACCAGGAGTAAATTCCACTTGGTCTGGGTTAATGATCTTTTTGATGTGTTGGTGGGTTTCATTGGCTAGAATTTTCTTGAGGA